AGTTGTCCATGCACTTAAGATATGGCGGCATTATTTATATGGTGTTCTGTTGATGTATTCACAGATCATAAAAGCCTGCAATATATCTTCAAGCAAAAAGAGTTGAATTTGCGACATAGGCGATGGCTTGAGTTATTGAAAGATTACTATGTTAACATTTTCTACCATCCATGGAAAGCTAATGTTGTAGCAGATGTCTTAAGTCACCGATCTATAGGTAGCTTAGCCCATGTAGAGGCCGAGAAAAGACAATTAACTAGAAAGATTCATCAATTGGCTTATTTGGGGGTTCGGTTAGTAGACTCTGGCGATGGTGGAGTTGTACTCCAAGATACTGCAAAATTATCTCTCATAGATGAAGTAAAGGAGAGGTAGTATGAGGAGCTAGAGTTGGTTGAGTTGAGAGAGCAAGTTCCGCAGCAGAAGAAGCCATTGTTAGAGCTCAAGGAAGATGGGGTTCTCAGATATAGAGGTCGTCTGTGTGTTCCAGATGTATCAGGGCTACGAGACAGGATTATGTCAGAGGCACATTATAAGTGGTACTCCATTCATCCTGGGTCGACGAAGATGTATCATGACATTAAGGATGTGTACTGGTGGAATGATATGAAGACGAACATTGCTGAGTTTGTCGCTCAGTGTCCTAGTTGCCAATAGGTGAAGGTAGAGCACCAGAAGCCCGGAGGGCTAATACAGACTATAGAGATCCCGACATGGAAATGGGAGGCGATAAACATAGACTTTGTCACGGGTTTACCTCCTTCTCATCATAAGTTCGATTTCATATGGGTAATAGTCGATAGGCTCACGAAATCACCTCATTTCCTGCCGGTCAGATCTACATATACACCAGAAGATTATGCAAAGTTATATATTAAGGAGATAGTACGGCTACACGAAATACCAATATCTATTATATCTGACCGTGGGGCCCAGTTTATAGCACATTTTTGGAGGTCATTTCAGAAAGGTCTAGGAACGCAGGTGAATCTTAGCACAGCTTTTTATCCACAGACTGATGGACAAGCCGAGCGCACAATTCAGACGCTCGAGGATATGTTATGAGCATGTGTGTTGGATTTTAAAAGAAGTTGGGATGAACATTTACCTCTTATCGAGTTTGCATATAATAACAGTTACCACTCCAGTATCCAGATGGCTCCGTACGAGGCTTTGTATGGGCGTAAGTGCAGATCTCTTATAGGGTGGTTTAATGTTGGAGAATCTGGGTTACATGGGCCAGACCTGGTTCAGCAGGCTGTAAAGCTTATCGGGGAGTGACTGTTGATAGCCTAGAGTCATCAGAAGTCATATTCTGACATGCGTCGACGAGACTTAGAGTTCAGGGTTAATGGCTGGGTATTCTTAAAGATATTACCTATGAAGGGCGTGATGAGGTTTGGCAAGAAAGACAAGCTTAGCCCATGGTATACTAGGTCTTATAGGATCATTCGGAGAGTGGGCCAAGCAGCATATGAGTTAGAATTGTCCTCAGAATTGGAGTTTGTCTATCCGGTTTTTCACGTATCTATGTTACGGAAGTGCATTGGTGATCCTACCCGAGTGGTGCCCACGGATGATGTACAGATTGCGGAGGACTTGTCATACGAGGAAATTTTGGTTGCTATCCTAGACCGATAAATCTGCAAGCTACGAAATAAGGAGGTAGCCTCCGTAAAGGTTTTATGGAGAAGCAAGAATGTGGAAGAGATAGCGTGGGAGGCGGAGGAAGAAATGAAGTCTAAATACCCCCACCTATTTCAAACTAAAGATATGACTCGAGGTGGGATACTTCAGCACAGCTCTATTCAGGACAGTAGGTTATCAGGTAAGCTCTTATTTTTTATTTTTAGAATTTATAATAGACAGGTGTGTGAGGTCAAGTGTTGTTATTTATAGACATTGGCCATGTGCGACATGTATAGTATGTTTTCTGGCTGCGTACAGGTTGGTTTTAGTCTAATATATGGAGGAGACTCTGGCAAAATTTTCCCAAAGTCTCTAAGAGTAAACATTCGATGATGAATGTTTCTAAGGGGGGAAGGATGTTACATCCCGCATTTTTGCACGTTAAGGTTTCGTCGTAAGTTAATCGACATAAGCTCGGGATGAGATTTTCTTGAGATTATAAGCATTTATACTATTTATAACAAGCAATAAGTAAGTGTCGTGAAACATAAAGCATAAACGAATCAAAGAAAATGAGTTTCATTAAAGGTTATCGATTTGGGATAAAATACGGACCGAGCTACAATACCCGATATTTATGGGCTAGTGCCATATAAGGTACCACATGACCATGATAGTAGGGTACATAAAGTGTGTCAAGTGAGTAGTATTTTAAGTAATTTGAGATAATTCTTAATTATATGGATAATTGGTTAAATATTGGATTAGTGAGGAATTAATAAGTTGATTAAGGAGTTGGTGGATGGTTAATTAAGGTCTTCGGATAAAGACTAAGGATAGCTAACGTGGCAGCAAAATCTTATCCAAATTATGACTCTTATACATTGAGTGAAAAGGTGGAACATTTAAGTAGTATATGGCTTAGTCATACCATTTAAAGCCCAAAACTTATCTAATTCAAAAGAAAGGTCTTACATAAAATTGTCAGGCAATGGAGATTCACGTAAGAATTCAAGAATTCAAGCAAAAAAATCCTTAAGCATCTTAGCAACGTGACTCTAAAGAAACCCGGTATAATCTTTCTCAAGAATATCATATGAATTTTTTCCTACTCGGATCTTGTCATCACGAGTTTTGTCACAATTATCGTGTGTTAGAAGGATTGTCCAGAGAACCGGCTCAGGTATGTTAAGGCTAAGCCCTTCCTTCATTTTGGCATGATCCATAATTACATGAGTTTGTAACGAGGCATAAAGAGAAGTTCGTATTCCTGAATTTATATACATCATAATCTCATAAGTTACAATATTCTCTCTTATGAGGACTTCATATTTAATTGAGTATTGTCTTCTTCCAGTCAAGAGAGCGGAGGGTCTCTCTCTCTCTCTCTCTCTCTCTCTCTCTCTATATATATATATATATATATATATNGTATTATAGTATTTTCACCACCATCGAGCTATAATAGGTGGGCATGCCCCTATTGGGCAACCTCTGATCAGATGGTAAGTTATATACCGAGCCTACTGTGGTCGAGCGCCTATGAGCGAGCCCAGCATGGCCGAGATACAGAGCCTAGTATGGCCGAGCGTCTATGAGCGAGCCTACTACGGCAGAGCAGTTTTATATATATATCGAGCCTTATAAGACCGGACATTTATTTTACTTACTATGTCAAGAGAGTTGAGTCAGTATCAGCAGGTAAGTATATCTCTAGATCATCTTTGACTCCCGGTTACTTTCAGTTATTATATTATCAGTTCAGTTTCAACTTTCAGTTATTTTATTATCTTGCATACTCGGTACATTATTTCGTACTGACATCCCTTTTTCTGGGGACGCTGCATTTCATACGTGCAGGTTCAGACAGACAGACGGGTAGACCTCCTCAGTAGGTGTTGCTGAGTTCAGCTTTATCAATAAGCTCCACGTCCTTCGGAGTTACCGGGTCTAGAGTTTTGTGTACATCTTGTGTATATATGTATATAGGTTATGGGTAGGTCGGGGGCCCTGTTCCGATCATAGTACATCCATCAGTAAAGGCTTATAGACATATCCTGTTAGTTAGTGCAGTATGTTGGGCTTGTAGGCCTTGTATGTATATTTTGTTGGTTTGTCATGTGTAGTAGTTATGACGGCCTTGTCGACCCAGCTTTATATTGATGTTTAGTTAGCATTAGCTTCCGTTCAATTTTATATGTTGCTTCACAAATTGTCTTGCAATGTGGCCCATGGCCAAAGTATGACATTATATGTTCAGAGTCCCCTTAATCACAAGTTGATACGGAAGAATAGGTGATGCACCGGGTGCCGATCTCGCCCCTAGGTTCGGGGCGTGACATAAATATCGGACGAAATTGTGATGTGGCCTTTCATGAATCAAAAGATGAACCGGGGCATATGTCTATGGATCAAAAGGCGAACGAAGAGCAATGTAAGACATATTGAATATGATAAATTTGAATCTTTTCCCCTTAATAAATAACATTATGCTTTTAAAACATTTGCAAATGCTTCTATGATGGAAAGATTACGAGGAAAACAAATTAAAGATGGTCCAACGAAATATAAAAGGCAGGGAGGGCAATGGGGCGGGGCGGGTTTCGTAAAACCCACAAAAAATTCAACCCACCCCGCTCCCACATAGTTATTTTTTTAGTTTTCAACCTGCCCCGCTTGGACCCGCCCCGCTCCACTTATTTTTTTTCTTTAATTTTTTTTTCTAAAACAATTTAGTTTGACAGAGTTTAATAGAATCACATAAACATAAAACTGAGAGAGCATTACGCTGGTGTTCCAAAATAAATGAGTTACTATCATTTCCTATTACTAATACGATATCTTGACTTATGTAATATCATTTTGGTGAGACTTATGTAAATTGACTAATTATAAATCAAAATAGTATTCTTGCTAGTGAAGAAGAATGTGAAATTGTAGTTGAAATGATTGCTTTGTTTCAAAAAAGATAAAATNTTAGAAATTATATATAGATATTTAGGGGTACGGATAAACAGATATAATCTTTAAAAAAACAGCTATTCTTTTTTCACTTTTTAGTTTGCCAAACACCAAACAAGCTAAAATGTGTTTTAAGCTGGTTTGACCAGTTTTTTAGCCAATCCAAACATCCTCTTTCTAAAAAATAAACTTTTAAGTCACAAGAAGAAAAATGTTATGGTGTTCTTTTACCAGTTTAAGGCGCAAAATGCTTAGATTACTGCTCTTTTCACTTCCAATAGGGACTATAGTTCGGTCAATGAAGTGGATAAAAATTATCTGAGACCATAATTCACATCAAAATACACAGAGATTAATTCTCTTCCTCTGCTTAAGCATTGGTGGTAGAGTTTCCACTGGAATTATCAAGATGCGTGCAAGCTAGCCCAACCATCACTTTTACTAAACATCAAATACAAGGACCTTATGGTAAGAAAATGAAAGTAATGACATGTTTTGATGTGTGTCAAGGCCAATCAAAACATCTCTTTTACCTGTTTTGGCAATTATCAACTGATTACAGGCCATGTTGTGCAGATTTTGTTCTAAGGCCGCTGGAAAAAAAAAGTACAAGATATGAAGTGTTTTATGAAATCAATTGCACTTTGTCCTGAAAACCTTTGCTACAAATGCAAATGAATAGAAATGAAAAGCTCTTTCTCCAAAACATTAGCAACATGACCATCTCCAATTTGACTCATACTAGCTCCCCTCCATAGTTAAATGTTATTTTCCAGGCTTTCTTCTAGTTTTATGTCCACGTGATCGCTTCATATCTTTAGCTGAAACAAAATAAGACGTATAACGATGTGATTCATTGTTAGAGCTGTATAGCCAGTATATCAAACAAGATTTCACTTAGTAACCGTAGTGACTATAGCACTCAAATACTCATCTGTGTATCACTACAAACTCCTTTCCCAGCCAACAACAAATATAAAATTACAACAACAACAACAATAAAGTGGTACAAATATAAAGACTGCATATTATCTTGCCAAGATATGGATTGACTTAATTAACTGGACAAAGAATGAGACGTTGTATTACGGACTAACCTGTCAATCTGCCAGCATCGTACAAAGCTTCCTCAGCGATAGGTCTCCACTGTTCAGCACACGAATGACTTATTCCCAGACCAACACTAAGCCCTCTCAGTAATTGCAGAGTTCGAAGAACAGAGAAAAGTTCTTCTGGAAAAGCCTAACGTCAAATAGAATTGTTTTTAGACTTTGATCCTGGTACGCAATTAACCTTACACGTGATAGGTAATTAATCAGCAAATAAGAAAGGCGGGTGAAGGACATGCAGATAGAGTTGTACAATGCGTCATTACTTTACTAAAGTAACAAAAAGAACTTGAGAAGGTAATGAGACTGCATTTTTTAGTTTACATCTCATTACAACATTTAGCGAGAGGTTGTGTCAACTTTTGTCTTCAATATCTATGACTAATCAAACTGGTGGACCTAATGTAGACAGGTAGTATCATGTGGCAAAGTTCATAGATTCTTGACTAGTATATGTGACCCTTGCTAAAAATGATTAAAATCGGGAACTGTAAACACCAGAGGTTCAAAGCACAGGTATCACATACCTCAACTGCAATTTTTTTGACCGAAGATTCTTCTGAGAAAGGTTGCAGGGTCTTTACACCAGGTGGCAATTTTGTATCAAACATCCCTTGCGCCAATTTAAGCCTTTCTTTCTGCTCGTCCTCACAATTGCTCAGGGTGTTTAGGCCAAGCTCCCTTTCATTCAACGTGGGAGGTGTTCAAAGACTTGGAACATATCAGAATTCATGATAATGTAATTTTTGCAACAACTCTAATTAATCCTAGAGAAACAATTTTCCCATTTCCATTTTTGTAGTTAGTCGCAAGAGCAGTTGGTTTGCTCCAAGAAATCAATTCCATTTTCCATTCTTCACACTTGAATAGAAATAGAATGCTAATGCTGCTTTCTTTTCCACATGAAAAAGGCTGTTTTACATTAACAATCTTGCCCTTTGATGAGAAATTTTCACATTTCAATGACATTGATTCATCCTCCCACTTAATATTTATCCTATTTTCTTTTTCAAAACTGAAAGAAGATATTTTAATTACAAGTTATGGGTAGTAAATTTTGAAGGGTAAAAATAGTTATTGCCACTACCAACTTATTTTCATGTGACTAGCTAGAACTTAAACTGCTGTTTTCTTGTCTATTTATTGTATGGTCACTTTCTCTGTTGGAAGAATGGTTTTAATTTAGAGGTATTGAGTCCTACCCTCAGTATTTTGCACAATTTCATTTCATCGGAAAGAAAACCAATTTTGAACATATAACAGGAGATTCGTAGGTAAATTCCTCACTTAAAGCTTTCTTTGGCCCTCGTAGCATCGCCATCCGCAATAGCAAGAACGAGATTAGCATAACCAAGCCTGAGATTTTCTGGAAGATCCTTAACTTGTCCATAATCCAGCAATGCAACCTTAATAATTAAGAAAAGAATGGCATGATCCTTGTCAGCACTCTGAACAAGAACAAATTATATATAATCACCGAGAACTGAATGCGGAAGAAGAAAAAGAGAAGACGCATACTTGCCTCAGCACCTCTACAGATTAGAATATTGCCAGGGTGTGGATCTGCATGAAAGAAACCGCTCCTGAGTATCATCTGTCCATAAGCCAGGGACAAACTTTTAAGAATGTTCCTGCATGCAGAAGTAACCAAATAAGAGAAGCTGAATGACGTTGAAAAGAGACTAGGAAAAATTGGAAACTACCAACTTTATAAATAGTAATGATAGTATGGGAATAAATTATTTATGCAGAAATAAATTAACTGAAAGAGTCATATTAAGAGAATAAAGACTTCTCTTTAGGAAATATTTGAGAAGGAATAACAGAGTTCTGCATTAATTTAATTAATGACGCATTACTGAAAAAAAGGGAGCTCTTTGCAACAGTTAACATGGCAAAGAGCTGAGAAGTTCAAAGTGAAGATTGTGTGGTGGAACGTTTTAGTACGGCAAACATCTCAAGCTATGTAGCTTTTGAGAATATACTTTATGTTCTTAAATAAATAGGTAGGTGGCAAGACATCTTCAAAAGTTCTTCTGGTTGAGAGGAGAGATTTTGAAGAATCTCATCTCTAACAAGATATAGGTGTAGAATGAGAATCTTTCATGGAGATAAGTGGCGTAATAACCTAGAACAAGTGTCGCAATCACCATAAAGTTTGTTAGTTCAGGAATAATTCAGAAACCAGCTATTTTGTGTTAAGTTTAGTCTTGCAGAGATAACAAATATATCGAAAGACATGGTGACCAAAATAAATTGAGAAGACAAAATATGACGTGAAATCTAACTTCATTCTGAGAAATCTAGTTTCTTACTGCTTTGCCACTGCTGCAACTTTACCATCTGGACTTATGCCTCTCTTCGCCATTTCATCTCCCAGCTTCACGATCGGGGTTCCATCAATATATTCCATCATTAGGACCCTCCTATTACAAAATTTAGACAAAAAAAAGGGATTATTAAGGTAAATGAAAAGAACTTACATTGTTCATATAAAGTTCATAAATCTAACAGAGAATACAGACAAACCGATCGAGGTTGAAAGTAAATGAACCTAACTTACATCTATTAGTAGTTGGAACGATGAAGGCAAACAAGATGTGAGAATTTAGTTTTCAACAATCTCTTGATCCACCTTATAACAGCAAGACATCTCAAATGTCCGCTGAATATCAAAATTTACCAACATTCGAATATGAAAACATCAACTGGTCAAATATTCAGCAGCAGTTCACCTTGTGACAATATCTCGAAGCACCCGGGGAACAATAACTGGGGACTTTTTGTTATTTTCGTAGAGAAAACGCCGAAATCTATCCATTGCGTCAGCCTCTCTCAAAAAGTTGAATTCACACCCAATCTTAGATGGAAGAAGTGAAATCAGTTTATTGAAACAATAGGATAAACAGAAGAAACTTGAACTATGAGCAGTTAGGAGGCAGAAGAAAATCAAAAAGCTTGTGAGCTCGTCAGGAAGCTATCAGATCAAAAATAGAACCGCCTTGATCAGGTATGTAATTAGCTCTAGAAGAAGAAATAATGCACTTTTAGCCTATTTAACCGCACACAGGAGATAATTCAATTACGGCATCAAATATATATTTCCAGAAGCTCGATGCCAGTTGCAATTATACTAACTACTACTGGTATTATTGTTATTGTTGTTGTTAAGTCAACAACAACTCTGACCATCGACTCATAACGCCAATCAACTTACATATAAGCATTAAAAATCATCATTTGCAAAATAAAATGTTGAGAACAAAGCTCAAAGAAATATAAAGGCCTTAAATCTAATAACGATGTGTTCAGATGATGAGAAGTAAGAAACAGAAACCTCAACGTTCCCATTTTCTTTAAACAATCATCGGTGCCTACAATCTGACCCAATTTGTAACTAATGTCAAAAAGAAGTCCCGTCTACGGAAAACGTGCTTGCATCTACTTTCAGTTGTTTTACATAAAAGTTAGGGCCTGATGTTACAAAGAAGTCACATATACAGGATTTTTACGCACCTGTTTCTCAATTTCCTTTGTTAAAGAGTAAAGATCAAATTTTATATCCATCTTCTGCAAGTATAGTGCGAAAGCTTGCAAGTTGTGGATATCCGTCATCATCAATTCCTGGACCCCAGGGTGTTGCACCTTGAGCAAGACAATGATTTTAGAACCTTATAATCGCATGAAAGCTGCAATGCTTATGAGTCAAATTCTCTTACCTTGACAACAATATCTTTTTTGTCACCTTTGAGCCTCGCTCTGTGAACCTAATCCAAGTACAGAAAACAATAGTTGGACCACTTAGGAGCAAAGTAATGTTAATTCTTCTTTATAACTAGAATGTAGCTCAAAGATACGACATTTAGAAACAATCTTTTATTTGGCTTTGAACTGTCATACAGGTTCAAATCATGTGGCCTTTTAAGAGATGCATAACACTGGTTCTTAGGTTAAACCGTTAAAGCTACTGGTGTTATTAAGATAGGGCCCAGGCCCTACATAAACCATATAATTTTAGAATATAGTGGAGATTGTTATCCATGAGAACAGATCAACAACAGCTAAGATTGAACAAAATCGTTTAAGCCGTTTCTCATGCCCATCTGTAGAGGGTCATCAAAACCAGATAAACCTATGACTGCCTTCCATTTGAGAGATGATTTTCCTCCGTTTATTTGCTAAAGATGTAACTAGCGACGTTTTTGCCATTACCACTGAAATAGGGCCCTGTTAACGTGCCTAATATGTTTTGCCACCTATTAGCACAAAATAATTTCCACATTTTAGTCCAAGAAAAGGAGTCGGTTGGATTGCAGACCTCAAATCAATGAATAAATGCATCTCCTCTCTAACAACTTAAGCTTTTAGAAAAGGCAGTCACACAATTCAATAAATCCAAATGTTTACACTAGCTGCAAGGTCAATATTTCAACTTAAACTTTCCTAGTCAACAGTCAAAGAAATGCCCATCAGTTGCTCTATGATGTACTAACACAATGCTTTAGATCAAACTTAATCGTTACCTGTGCAATAGAAGCAGAACCCAGAGGATCAACGTCAAATCTTTCAAACAATTCATCAACATTTCGACCCAATTCCTTCTCCAGCACAACCCTGACAATATTATACGGCGTAGCAGGTGCTTGATCGCACAGAGTAACTAACCTCCTCACCCATGCAGCTGGAGCCAAGTCTGGTTTCCCAATGATTTGAGCAACCTAATATTACCATCATGTCCACTTAATCAAATCTCACTCTAAAAACTACATCCTAAGTATTTAATACGAACTGTAACTATCGAGCACAAACTTAAACCCTCTGTTCATTGAGTAATATGGAGGCAATTTACTGTCTGCTAGAGGCTTGGAAGAACAACTTTTAACACGATACATCAACCTCAAAAGCGTTACAATAAGTTTTGTACTAACATACTGCTAGCACAGTCTACTGCATATATTCCAATGTCCATTACACATATAAACTTGACCAGATTTATTAAAACAAATCATTAAATATTGCTTAGAAAGGTGGAAAGCAGCAATCTTTCACTTTCTTGTTTCATTCTTTCCTCGAACTACCTATATCCCAATTTATGTGATGTACTTTTCTTTTTAGTCTGTTCCAGAATAATATTATTATATATTATTATATTTAAAAATAATTTAACTTAAAACTTCCCGCTTTACACTTAATGAGATGAATTACAGCCACACAAATATCTATGAATTGTTTTAGACCATCAGTTTCAAAAGCCTTTCTTTCTTTCTTAAACTCCGTGTCAGTCAAAGTGTTGAGACAGTGGGAGTAGTTAATAACAACAATAGTGGCGGCAAATGGTTTAAAAAAAAAAAGTTATCCACTCATATTATCTATCAATAAATGGGTTGAATAATGAACTTTTAAAAACAGGTCAAATATGGATAAAAACCATATTATCCATTTAGAAAATGGATTTGAGTTTCCTCAAGTTTGGGTGACTATGAATTCTCCCAAAAGTGATCATGTTCAAGAAGTCGTGGATAATATGGATATCCATGCTATCCGCTGGTTAACCCATTTTTTATCCGTATTAACTATGGGTCGGGTCGGATAATTTATCCGTATTTCTCATTATCCGTTTTCGATCAGCCCGTTTGCCACCCCTAAACAACAGTAATATCTCAAGATTGAAAATTCTATCTTAGAGACAGATTATTGAATACCTTTAGGAAGAAGCCACCAAGGTCAGAGCACATATTATATATTTTCTCAGCTGCAAACTCATGCTGCCTCTCCCACAGTGCTTCTTGTTTTTGCACATCTTTTTCAAAGCCAACTCTCAATTGAAACACCTAATATACAGCAATTAAAACCCCTAATTTACTTCAGTAACCCAATGAACCAATAAATAACTCTCAAATATATAAGGAAAATGCACAGAATAACTAACCCAAAGAAAAAAAGAGCACCCCTCCTTCAGTCTCAAATTAACACCTAAATTAGCGTATTTAGCTCAACCAGAATGTAACTATTTATAACTCCCTTTGTCCAGGCACATTTTCCTTTATAGTTTGTCCCCAAAAGAATGACATATTTCTATATTTATAAAAAAATTAACTTTAAACTTTTCGTTTTAACCTTAACGAGACGATTTATAGCCACACGATTGTTGTTTTAGACCACAAGTTTTAAAATTCTTTCTTTCTTTTTTAACCTTTGTACCTAATCAAACATGGTCAGACAAAATGGGACAGAGGATTTACCATTTTGTAGTTTGATATCTATCCTAAATTCTTCTAATTTTAAAAATTAATCTAGTCAAAATTTGGATAAATATCACACTGCAAATTGGTTATTTCTCCTAACAAAGTACATTCAGGGCACTTAAAAAATGAAGAGTACCTTATAACCAGTATAGATATCTGAAACACGAACCCAAAACTGGAAAGAACGTTGCCAAGGTCTGATACAAGAAGATAGCTTTTCTTGAAAGTCCTTAATGTCAAATTGAATATTCATGGCTCCCATAACTCTATACAAGGCATTGGTTTTGGTAAATTATATTACAATGGGATAAACCAATATTAAAGAGACCATATTTTACTCCTTGTAGTTTCTTTAAAGAGCCTGCATGGCTCAATAGTACAAAAAAATTTAAAGGACATTAATAGCCATTCACCCATTCTCTTGCTTGTGGCTGAGAAAATATCGGTATTTCTTTCTTCTCTTTTCATTTAATTTTTCTCAAGGGTTGCTTGGAATTCTAGTTAGCACTGGGGATTTTCTTGAAATTGATGGATATTGGATTTTACTTAAATTTCCAAAGAGGGCTTAAAAATAAAAAATAATCAGATTTACCACTAGTAATTGAAAAATAATTACAATTTCAAAAGTAATGGGAATTTAGCCACTTTTTCATGTAAAGATAAAAACCGAATAAAAACACCCTTAAAAATCCGGAAATATTCTAGTATATTGGAGTTCGAATTTTTTATATATGAGCTTCCAGCATAATATGCTAGAGTTCCAACATAATATTCGGGAAGTTTATATGCATGAACTTCATAATCCCGCATATTATGCTGGAACTTTGCGTGTGCTGGAGTTCCAACATAATTTGCTGGAAGTTTATAAACAAGAGCTCCATAATCCCGCATATTATGCTAGAACTTTTCATGTTTCAGCAAAACAAAGGCTATTTTTCAATGACTTTGCAACGATTACCAGTCCGAGAACTGGCTAGTCAGTGTTATTTTCACAGTATTTCAGTGCCATGAACCCCCCGAAAAAAAAAAGTTGGGTTGTACCTTAGATATATAGCTTGCGGTCAATAAAAAATATATTATAGTATTATACTAAGTTATTCACGACATCTTTCCCAAAAACCAATTGGGATAACTCATTTCCTGGAGTTCTTAATAGTTTTACTTTTGGTCAATAAATGGTGTCACTTATCAGAGTAATCAGTGAAAAGTCTAACCTAGTGCAAAAGAATTAGCTGCCCTGGCTTGAGGTTGAGAGAGAATTGCCCTCCACCAATGTACTCAATGGCTAATTTGTGAATCATCCAGTTAAAAAAGCAATCTGGTGCACGAAGCACCACGCGTGCAGGCTGGGTAAGAGAAGAGCCGCACACGCACCTTAAGAGGGTGTAATATCGGTAGCTGATTCCACATCTCGAACCCATGACGGTAAGTCACACGCACTTTAACAGGGTGTGATATCGGCAACCTACCCTAATACAAGCATCAATAACTGATTCCACAGCTCGAACCCATGTCAGTAAGTCACACAAAGACAACTTTACATGCTCGAAGGTTTCCCTTCTTTGTGAAAGATCCAGATGTGTTACATAATATAGTATACGATATGTGATAAACCAATTCTTTAACTTCACTCAAATAGAACTCTCAATCACATCCATCATCACTAGCACAAAAAGTTGAAAGGAAATGGAGTAAGATTTTAGAAGATGCTCTGAATGTTTTGAAAATATATGCATATCCCAACAGAGAAAATCTCTTTGATTTCATAAAATTACTAAATGGTAGTCCGAGAGCTCGAAATGAAAAGGCAAATCACATCCAGATTAGTGTTACGTGAGTTTGAACTAAAAACAATTACAGGCCACCAAACATTTTCAAACTTGATGGTTTAACTGATTCAGAGATCGATGACACGAGAAAGCTTTTGAATGCGATTCAACAAGAAGTCCCCTTGCTTGATAGTTGCCTGGTAAAGAGCATTCTTTGCATCGGGACGATTGGTTTCCAGAACTCCAGCCACTTTATCGATCTTGCAATGCAACTTCCCTGCTGCAATGAACCGAGATAGTTCCCTGAATGGAAAAAAGAAAATGTTGAATTATTATGGATGTTACAGTCCTCACTCCGACTTAGAGCATTACACATCAGTGACCAGTGCACGGCTACAGATTAAAGACTTACAAATCGATGAAATCCTCAGACACCCCAAAAGCCTTGGCCATGGCCTCAATTGTAACACTCTTGTAGGACTCCAGAAACTGGGAATACACAACTATTCTGACTTCCCTCATAAAATATCTGAAGTGTGGCTGCAAGTACCGGTCCAACTTAATATGCTCCGTCAAGCCAGCTGAAAACATCAGTAAGGTCAAAGTCAAACAGTTGCAACTGATATATCATTCAGGGCCTCACATGACCCTAGCGATCAACATATAGGGTGAATCACAAGTCGAAGTGTATAATAGACATAGCATGCTCACCTCTCTGTAACTCAATACTAACATATCACATTTTAAACTACCCTATCTATACACATTAACAGGAGTCTTATCTTTCTTTTATGCAAGGGTCAGCCGTTCTCTTATTGGCCCATCTCCAATAAGCCAATTAGTTAAGAAACTGACATGAATTCAATTGGCCTACAATTTTGTATTAGAGCTCTGAAGGGAACTAAATTTACAAGTAATAGGAGTAACTCTTAATGAAAATGATATCCTACTATGCAGGCTTTTTGACAAACACTACAATCTATTTGAAAAATTCCAGGATTCTGCTGAAAAATTCATAGATTAAAGCTACCAGAAACATTCAGAAGCTCAGGAACACCTAAAAAGCCAATTCAAATCTCTATTTGAGGTCAAAAATACATTCCATGATATAATTGCATTATTTTGTTTCGATAGTGGATACATCTAAAATCTTCTCATCCTGATATAAACCAGGTGCCAGAAAGAAAGTCATTTTTTTCATTGTTGATATGTGCCAGAAAGAACATCTTTACGTCTTTTCGAGCTTATAACACTCACATGACTAATAAAGAGCCATACCTTCATGTTTTTATCAGTCGTCTAGATATTAGAAAGAATCTTTAAAAAAAATTAGGAGACTGTATAACAGTTGTTCAACCTATTTCACAATCAAGGTCATCTGACACTCAAAACTTCCAAACAGGATTATCAAGAACCAAGAATTTGCAAACACTACACTCTCTGTCAAAATTGCCAGAAAAAACCCATCAAGTTTTATAGGACATAATCTACATTAACTTAAAGATAAGGACCTTTGCGAACTACAAATGCACACTTAAACATATGAAAAGAGAAAATGAATAACAATGGAAAAGCTTACCAAATGCAGAGAAAAATGACTTGTACTGACACTCATATAATGAGTTCATGAACTCAGAGAGATATGGGATCTTTCCTATTACTGTCAAGATCTCTGGTGCATCCACTACCTGCAACATATACCAAAATGAATTTGCAAGTATTCGTCACAGTAACATCTAGGATATTCCGGGAACACAAATTTCAAGTTCACAAATCCCTCATCCTACAAAACAAGGATAGTAAAGGGAGTAATAGTTGAATACCTTCTGTTTCAAGGAAACCCGATCCAAGGTAATGATGCTTGTAAGGACAGTATAAAATATGAAAGTATCATAAGGAAAAATCTCATATGTGGTAAAAGTTGAGATAGAATCGAGGAAAAGATCTGCTGCTTTCTTGAAGTTACGAGTGGACATGCAGAACAACCCTTCATACACCTTCAACCTGTTCTTTCTCTCCCAGTCACCCCCCTCTTCAAATAACCTGTCAGCAAAACATTGGGAGTGAGCTTAATAACTAGATAAGGCATTCAGAACATCGTGCCTCATAACATCTGAACTGCTTGTTAGACCCTCCTACTTACTTCTTTGCCTTATCTATGCTTTTAGAAATGAGGTCAAAATCCAAGTCAAAGAATCCCATCTGCAAGGTATAGAACACCAAGTCCATCTTTTGTCCAACTGCAACAGTTTTGCCCTCGGTCACCTTGAGTTGTTCATGTGCTTTCTCCTGGATTTTAAATAAGATAAAGATTGATTGAGATTTGCCCAGTGTGAAGTGTGAATAAATAACAACTGAGCAATTTTAGGGTGACGAGAGAGACAGACTACCTTATCACCAATCCGAATGTAGAACAACGATTTTGCCAAATGAGCTTCCCGAACTTCACTTTCACCCAAGTTTTCTTCAGCATCAGCAATCCTTCATGAATGTATCATGTTAGATGTGTGGTTAAGTGTAAAAAACAATGAAACCCGACACCCTCCTCTCACTTTCCCGGACTTTGAATAATAAAATACAAAAACAGCACGACCTGGTATGCCCAATTTGGCTCAAAACAATATACCAAGTAGTCATCCATACAATGCCGCACTATGACCTTTTTAAGAATGATAAGCCCATCCACTTAGCAAGACATTACTTTCTCTAAGTTATGAGAAACATAAGATTAAGATAAACCAAGATACCAACTGTACATAGCAATGTTACCAGTAATCATGATTATTAACATCCATAAGAATACAATTGCAAGCGCACTTCCCATCTCCAAGCAAAATCTATAGGAGGGCAGAAACTGCTCATAGTTTCACCAAAATATATTTCACATGTTCTTCAGATACACCGTATGGAGAATATAGGTGGTGAATTCTGAAACGCTCTTGCCCCGAATGCAGGGCTTACTAAAAACTGAGTAAGGAAACTAGACTATAGAAGTGTGCAGACTGTGCTCCAGCCAGTATTACTTGCCTCTAATAAAACTTAGCTTCGATAGCATTCTGAGCATCTCCTTCCCAGCAGCACCCCTGCCTGTTGTCATTCAGTCTCTTTTTATAATTGCATTCGTGTACACAAAAGCCAAATCTTTAGATTACAGGTTTTTCAGCAAATCAATAATTCACCTTCCACTTTCACAAAGTAAAACTAATTTTTAATTAGCCCACAAAATATGACCTTCTCCACAGGTTGGAAGAATTTTAACACCATATTGTATTGCAAAGTTTCTAAAATCTAATACCCTAATTATTTGGAATTCTAAACTGCAAGGTTACTATGTTCTCTTGATGAGAATGTCATCTATATACGATTTGAACTTATTAAAAACACTGACCATATGATGTCCAAGTGAAATAGACTAGAATATCAAGTGCAGCCCCTCTCTTTATCTATTTAACCTATTTCTATACCTTAACCTACAGTCTCCTTCCTCCAAAACCAAATAACCTAATTTATCCGTGTTCCCAACAAAACTAGCCTTGCAATAGCAACTCAAGCTCCACCTACCCCATCATAAGAGGGACAAAAAAACAATCCTCTT